AGCACGACTTCTTCAGCAGCCCCGAGCTCTGGATCAGCTCCCTGCCAAGTACGTGCACGGGCTTGTAACAGTGCTTCTGCTTTTGTACTGTAAAACCCCACAGAAAATAGTGTTTGGTCTTTTTTTCCTGTGGCTGTTCGTGGGTGAGGAGAACTTGTGTGATTTAACTGGAACTGAGGGGTTTAAACATCCCTGTGAGGGCAGCGGGGTTTGTGTGGTGTCCCTGCTGCTGATACTCCAGGAAAAGCAACTCTGACCGTTTCTCTCTCAGTGACAGATCTAGAGATCAAGTTTGAATATCGAGGGAAGGAGACTGGACCCACAACAACCGTGAGCAACCCACAGGGCTGCAGACTTTTCTACGGAGAGCTGGGTCCTATGCCAGACCAGGAGGAGCTCTTTGGGCCCATCAGTTTGGAGCAAGTCAAGTTTCCAGGGACGGAGCAGATCACCAACGAAAGGCAGAAGATCTTCACGAGTCGTTTGCTGGATGTTATGGACAGGGGACTGATCCTGGAGGTCAGCGGCCACGCCATCTACGCCGTGCGGCTCTGCCAGTGCAAGGTGTACTGGTCTGGGCCCTGTGCCCCCTCCTCCACCACCCCAAATCTGATTGAGAGGCAAAAGAAGGTGAAGCTCTTCTGTCTGGAAACGTTCCTAAGCGGTAGGTAACTTCTGCTTGTGGAAAACAGCTCTGGACATGGGTCGTGCCTGGATGCACCAGCTGTGGAGAGCAGCTCGGGGCCACTGCTCCCCTGATTTCAGGGAGTTTGGAGTGGGTGTGTGGCAGGAAAAGGCACTGTACACTCATTGAATGACATCACAGGGCCTTGCTTTTAAAGCAAGCACTCCACGAGCAAGGAATGAGCTGTAAGTGTGTGAGAGGTGGCAGAGGACAGTGTGTAGGTAAGACTGACCAGGGGTGATGCAATGAGATGGGAGGTCATGGGTGTTTCCAGCCTGAAGAGGACAACCCTGCAGCACCCTGCTTTTCTTCCTAGAGCTGATTGCCCATCAGAAGGGACAAATTGAGAAACAGCCACCATACGAGATCTACTTCTGTTTTGGAGAAGAGTGGCCCGATGGAAAACCCAGGGAGAGGAAGCTGATCGTGGTGCAGGTAGGGCTCTGGGGTGATGTGTGCCAGCCCTGCTGGGTTTGGGATCGATTCCCATCCATACTGAGACTGTTCTTTTCCTGCTGTGGCTTCTGGCACCAGGGAAACTCCAGTAAGACAGGTGGTTTGGGAGGGTAAACACAAATGTGATGTGTGCTGAATAGAATTGGTTTGTGAGTGTGTTTTAGGGTATCGTGGAACCCATCTCTGCATCCAGGACAGGGCTTCCTGCAGAGTGCCAGGGATATTTCCCGTGCCTTTAGGCTAAACACAGGGACTTGTTAACAGGTGATCCCTGTTGTGGCCCGGATGATCTACGAGATGTTCTCCGGGGACTTCACGCGCTCCTTTGACAGCGGCAGCGTGCGGCTGCAGATCTCCACGCCGGACATCAAGGACAACATCGTGGCACACCTGAAGCAGCTGTACCGGCTGCTGCAGAACCACCAGGAGGGCTGGCCCATGCAGGCCCCTGCCCTGCACATGGCACAGCCGCTCCCAGCACAGTGACCGACCCTCGCCCTCCACCAGCGTTTCTCACCTTGTACATACACAGAGGCTTTCCTTAACCAGTGCCTTGTCTGAATCGGAATAAATAGAATCTGTAAATCACGTCATCTGATTCCACAATTTCAGTTTCTGTGGTGCTTTTGTTCTGCAAGTGGCTCAAAACAGAGGGGATTACAGGAATACTTCTCTTTCATCCTTTTCAGCTGTTTGCTTAAGCATCCCCTCTGTATAAATCAGATTATCAATTCTGTAATATTTTTTAATCTGCTATTAATACAATGTATATAAACGCTTGATCATTAGAGGGGAGAAAAAATAATCTGTGCTTTATTAAACGTGCCTGGACAATATCAACTTGTCTGATTTTTTTTTTTTCTCTTTAATGGGGCTGTAGCAGCAGCCTCGAAGGCTGATGCTCCTTATAATGTGGGTTTTTTAATAGGGATAGGTACATGCAGGCATTGTAAATGCATATATAACAGCATGAAGTTGGAAGGGAGCTCTGCAGCTCCTCTACTCTCCTGGGGGCTGATCCTCCAGATCTCCGAGCACTCAGTGATGGTACAGAGCTGGCAGCGGCTCTCTGCACGGCTCGGTCCTGTCCCTGTCCCCTGTTTTGTGCCCGGGCTGCGGGTGCTGTCTCTGCCTTTCTCCCAGCCCTTCTCCCGGCCATGGCGCTATCCCAGCCCCTTCTCCCAGCCCTTTTCCCAGCCCTTCTCCCAGCCTTTCTCTCGGCCCTTTCTCCCAGCCCTTTTCCCGGCCATGGAGCTATCCGAGTCCTTTTCCCGGCCCTTCTCCCGGCCTTTCTCCCAGCCCTTTCTCCCGGCCATGGCGCTATCCCAGCCCTTCTCCCAGCCCTTTTCCCAGCCCTTTTCCGGGCCGTGGCGAGGCGGCCCCGCCCAGCCGCGGTGGCTCTGCCGGTGCCGGGCTCC